TCCGCTCTTCTCCTGTTCCGCCTCTACCCTGGAGGAAGAACCAGAGCGAAGAGGGTTCGAATTGGATCGTTTTCTCTCCCGCGTGGCGAGCAATCCGAGGAGGGATCAAACACAGAAACAGCAAATCGTCGATTCCTAGGAAGATATGGGAATCATGGGGAATCGCCTCGCCTCGCCTCGCAAAGGATGCATCTCCTGGCACGCTCGCACAGCGGAGAGCTACATCCAATTTCAGCTCCCTCGGAGTCGTGATCTCCGCCTCTTCAGCCCAGAAAGCCATGCTTCCCCTCCTCCTGCCTCCCGCCTCCTCCTCCCCCTCCTCCCCGCCGCCCCTTCCCCTCCCCTCCTCCTTCCTCCTCCTGCCCTCTCCTCCTGGTGCCTCCCACTCCTCCCCTCCTCCTCCTCCTCCTCCTCCTCCTCCTCCTCCTCCTCCTTCCTCCTCCTCCCAGCGCCCCCCTCCGGCGCAGGGCGTGCCCCCGTCGGCGGGCCCAGTGGGCGTCGCCTCCCTCACGCGCATCGCCACGGACACCCCCCCCGCTGCCCCGCGGGCCCCAGCCGCCGCCTGCTGGTGATTTCGCCGTCGCCGATGCCTCCTCCTCTCCTTGCTCCTCCTCGCCCTCCTCCTCCTCGCCCCTCGCCCCTCGCTCCCCCTCCTCCTGCTCCCCCTCCTCCTCCTCGCCCTCGTCCTCCTCGCCCTCCTACTCCTCCTCGCCCTCTTCCTCCTCGCCCTCGTCCTCTTCGCCCTCCTCCTCCTCCGCCTCCTCGTCCTCTTCCTCCTCCTCCGCCTCCTCCTCCGAAGCAGCTCAGAGCAGCGCACAGTGAGGCTCGGCAGGAGAGCTGGGCGCCCACCTCGAGCGAAGAACACGCTGCAGCAGTGGCGCGGCCCAATCCTAGCGAAGCCAAGGGAGAAATAAACACACTGTGGGAAAAAAAACACAGTCTGTGTGAAAAAACACTGTGAAAAACAACTCACAAAAAACACAGTCTGTGTTGTTTAATTGTGTGTTTGTTTCACACAGTGTGTGTTTCCCCCCCCCCCACAAAGCAGCTGGGATCGCGTATGTTTCGTGTCCTCGCTCCCTCTGCTCCCGCTTCCCTGCGCCAGGTGCTTAACAGCGTTGAGCTTGCAAGTGCATGGCCGCGGCAACTGTTAATCACCCTCGTCAGCTTGACGAGAAAGGATGCGACAGCCAGAGACAGGGCCATCGGTATGTGTCGGAGGTTTACCACTTGTGGGCCTCCATCTGTCCTCGCCACACCTCGGAGTGGGCCCAGCAAGCCGCTGGGGTGTGGGATGCGGCAGGTCAGGGGAGTGGCAGCCATGGCCAGCTGTGGACGTAAGGCCAGACCTGGAGGGTTCACCATCGTCTGCCGCGGTGTGAGTCCCAGAGTCGAGTGCAGCGCCAAGGTGTTTGGAGGCGCCCCTTCTAACCTTTCGTTGTGGCGCAGGTCTCTGGGGAAGCTAACCTCACCTCGCATGCGAGGTAGATTCCTGGACACGTTGCTGCAGCTAGAGCTGTGGACTGGGGATCTGTCTCATTCTGCAGAATGTAAAGTCCTTGACTCTTGGTTCATGGTCCTCGCCGCTGGTCCTGAGCAGCGAGCCACAGCAGCGCACATTTGGCAGAACGTACTTGACAAGCAGAGCAGCCTCAGCCCTAAGCGCAGGTGGAGGCGGCCCACTGGCGTTTGAATGGCCATGGTGAATTATCTGCTAGAGCTGAATTGGTATCCGCACGGCCCGTGGCACTGGGAGACGCCCAAGGGAGTTGAATTCGAGGCTTCCGAGGAGCTCCTTGCAGCGGGCAAAACTGACGCGTCAGACTTATAGTATGCTCTTCGCTTCGGCAGTCCATAGGGTGAGTACTCTGGAAGCGCGTGACCATGCATCACAGCAGCGCCAGCTTCGAGTGCAGAGTCGATTTAACTTCAACCGTAGGGTGTTTGAAAAACCTCAGGAGGAAGGGGAAGTGGGAGTGGTATGGAGCCACTCTCGTGACCGTCGCTGGTTCTTCGTGGCCACGTGCTCGGCTAGCCGGGCATCCTTCTCGATAGCACTTGCCAGCGGTGCGATCAGCACACAGAGCATGGCAATGCCCAGGCAACTGCAACATCCACGCCTGCATCCAGTCAGATTGTGCTAGTTCCCCGTTTGCTGGCCGAGTTGGAATCGCGACCAGGGCATTGGCTGAGAGGCTTGCTGCCCAAGGAATGGGCGAGGGCTCCTGGTCCCCCAGAGGAGCTGGTCGGGCATGCCGCTTTCGGCCACCCCGTCAATGTGGCTTGGCAGTGGGGGGATTGGCTTGTTAGGGCGGGAGACGCGTCGAGTGGTCCGTACACTCGGGACGACGGCCTCAGACGGGTGAGTCGGGCCACGCTGATCTTTAATACATTTGGCAGCTCTCCAGGTGCGCTGGAGACCCAAGTCTGGGAGCTCGCCCACGGGGAAGCATGAGGGCTCCCAGGCTTCAGGCAGTCAGTCAATATGGGCCAGCTTTTTTGCATTTCTGCAGCTTTTTGAGCGCAGTGGCTCTTGTGGACGGCTCCTGTACGTTGTGCAGTCGGACTACGTGCGGACAGGAGTAGCTCGCGAGATGCGCGGGTGCGCCAGGCGCGCGAGCCACGTATTTCAGACCACGTTGTCGGCGGCCTGGGGTCACCAAACATGCGCAGATGCGGCCTGGCCGAACCTCGCGCCACTTCTGCTCGTGCGAGCTCCTCCAGTGCCGCCCGTGAGAGCACGAGCGAGCTCCCCGACAGGGGTGAGCCCGCCTCTCGCCGTGCCGCGCGCGGTCAGGCAAGGCAGCGATGGGGTATCCCTGTTGAGTCTAGAATGTGCCTGGGGGTGGACGGTTCTGGTCCCGTTTTGTTTCTCCGTCCCGACTCAGCTCGGATGCTTTGCCGCCGTTTGGCTTCGGCGCCGGCGCGTGCCAAACACATATGGATGAGCGAGAAGCCCGCCTTGCACATCATTTTGCCGCAATGCTTTCTCTCGTCAAGCTTCCAAGGCCCGCAATTCCAGTTCCTCCTCCTCCTCCTCCCTCCTCCTCCTCTTCCTCCTCCTCCTCCTGCTCCTCCTCCTCCCTCCTCCTCCTCTCTCCGTCCTGTGGTACTGGTGTCTGGACATCGGCCCGCGCCCCGCCCCGGCTGCCCGGCACGAAGGGGCAAGCCGAGGAGCGGGTGGGCGAGCGGCGGCGCTGTCCCCGGGTACCAGGCCCGCGGTCGCCGTTCCCCCCCCCCCCTCTCCCTCCCTCGTCGCCCCCGTCTCTTCCCACTGTTGGCGCCCTGCCGGCCTCCTCAGGAGTGTAGGCGTTGCCATGTCGTGTGGCAGTGTTCCCTTCTTCGCCCTCTTCGCTCCCCTTCCCCTCTGACAACCCGGATGCGTGAATTGATGTCAGCGCCGTGCGCAGGCGAAGCTCCGTCTCGTGCTCCTGGGCATCAGGAATCAGAATGCGGCGGGGCTTCTCGGAGGAGGAGGAGGAGGAGGAGGAGGAGGAGGAGGGGGAGGAGGGGGAGGAGGAGGAGGAGGGGGAGGAGGAGGAGGAGGAGGAGAAGGTTGGAGGTTGGAGGTTGGAGGAGGCTCTGGGAGCCAAGTCGTCCAGGCTGTCGCCGTTTTTGCTTTCCTCAGAAGGCGGCGGGGCTTCTCAGAAACCCGCCGGCCTTCCGAGGCATTTCCTGTGTCTTCGGGGATCCCTCAGAAGCCGCCTCAGCAGGCCAGGGGCGCCTCGAGCCTGCTGAGAAGGCCCGCCCCCTCTCGCCTCCCCCTCTGGGCGCGCCGCCGACCTTGTGGCTGGGGCCGCGGCGCCGGCCAGCATCGGGGGCGGCGAAGTGGGAGGTGATGACGTAGGGCCGGGGGTATCAGGGCCAGGGCCGCGGCATCTCCTCGTAACTCGAGGCCCCTCCGCCTGGTTTCAGTACGTCCCTTGGCACCCCCTGGGCCGCGCACGACCCTCGGGCCATGGCAGCGACCCCCCCCTCCTGGGCGCCGCCTCTCTTGGACGCCCGCGATGTCGAAGCGTCTGCGTCCTTGGGTTCGAGTAACCTCACCAAGCCTTTAAGAACCCCCCCCCGCTCATCCGGTGAAAGTATATCGCATCCGGTACCCTGGAAGCGTTACCTCGGCACCGGAGGAGCCAGCAGAGAGCGCTCGGGGCCAAGCTAAGCTTTGCTGAGCCCTGATAGCTCCCGCTAAGCCCTGCTAAGTTGGGGTGTGAGGGTCGCGTCGCATCGCCGATGAACCGGCGATTTGGAGCTAGTTTTTTTGTACGCCGACCGACGTCGCCGATGCATTGTCGATGCATTGGCGATGCGGCGCGATCCTCCGACCCCATTTGCTCGGATCCCATTCGGGAGCTCTCCGATGAGAGCGTCTGCGTCGTGCCGCGCCTCTACCTCAACCCTGGGCCAGAACGAGACTCACAGCTGCAGGCCGACGGCAGAGTTCGAGCGGGCGACGCGGAAGCCGGTCGACCGACTCTTTCGAGCCAGTCGCAGAAGTTGAAACGTACGACGCCGCCGTCTCTCCGCTCCTCCACCCCAGACACATCCAGCTGCTCCCTTTTTTCCATGCGTGATCCCCAGAGGTCTGGGCGCGTTCCCCAGGGCCGCCTCTTCGTGCTGGGTCGGCTTTGGACGGCCCCGGAGGCCCAGCGAGGGCCCCTGGAGGCCGAACACGGCCAAAGACCTCTCACCCCATCTGACTCCTCCTCCCCCCCTCCGACCCCCTCCGCCCTCCGCCTCCGTCTCTCCGTCTCTCTCTCTCTCTCTCTCTCTCTCCCCCCTCCGGGGCCCTCGCCAGGCCTCGGGACCGTCAAAAAAGACTTCAGGACGAGAAACAGGCCCTGGGGAAGTGATCCAGACCTCCGGGTGCCACGCATCGAAACGATTGGAGCAACCAGATGTCTGGGTTCCCCCCCCTTCCGCCTCCGCCTTCCCTGCGCCTGGGCTGGCGGGAGGACGACCTGGGCCTGATGGACCAGCCGGTGTCCCCGAGCTACAAGGATCTTTGCCGCCCGCATCGCCGTTGCCCCCTGCCCTGCCTCCCCGTCCCTGGCTCTCTGCTTCCCGTGCGGGCATGCTTTGTGTCCAGATCCTCTGCGTCTTGGAGTTTCGGGTTCCCCTTCCCAGAAGCCAGCGGCGCAGTGGATGTGGACCAGAATCTGGCCCCGTAGAGGCTAGATAGATGTCATCCGTATCCACTGCGCCTCGGCCCAGTCGGCGCCCCTTCGCAGAACGTCCAAGACGCAGTGGATCTGGATGCGAGTTTTGCCCGCACTCCTCTCCTCAGGGGCGGCAGGGGGGGATGGGCTCGGACGGGGATTGCCCCTGGGTCTGAGCCAGACCCCCCCTATCGTTACCCCTGCTCTCCCCCCTCCTCTCCCCCTTTCCCCTCCCTCCTGCTTCCCCCTTCTCGGTCTTCCTCTCCCCTCCCCCATCCCGTTCTCTCCACCACATCCACGATGAAGTGCTCAACATGCGTACTACCCTATCTTCCCCGCCATGGCGTGTGTGGTCCTGCCTCTCCCACGTATGTATTTGTCTCGCAGGAGGTTAAAGGTTGATATGCGATCTGTGGCTGGTCGGCCGGAGCGTCATCGGCCCTTCAAATATGGCGTTCTTGCTGCGGCGTTGGCCACATTTCAGGATCGGTTCGTTGCTCCCGTCGTTCAGAATGGCGCTCTTGCTTCAGTCAGCGCGGGCCACATTTCGCAATCCGATTCCTTCTAGCCGTTTCCGTCCCCCTCCGTTCCCCTCATCGGCCTTCCCCTGACCCGCCTGCTCCTCCTACTCCTCCTGCTCCTCCTTCCCCTCCTGCTCCTTCGCAACCTTCTTCCCCTCTATCCGCCTCCTCCTCTTCCTCCTCGTCAGAATGCACCGAGCCCGCCATGTCAAATCCTGCAACTGTCGTTCGTGGGACCTGGGCGCGGATCCAAGGGGTTTCAACACGATCGGAAGGAACGGGTGGGACGGGTAGGATGTCAGATGTGGTGCGAGCGTGCCTAGCCTGTCGTCTTCTCTCGTTCTCGTTATACCTCTCTATTCCTCATGATCTCTCTCTTCTCTTCTCTTCTCGTCTCGCCTCTTCTCTTCTCTTCTCTTCTCTTCTCTTCTCTTCTCTTCTCTTCTCTTCTCTTCTCTTCTCTTCTCTTCTCTTCTCTTCTCTTCTTCTCTTCTCTTCTCTTCTCTTCTCTTCTCTTCGCTTCTCTTCTCTTCTCTTCTCTTCTTCTCTTCTCTTCTCTTCTCTTCTCTTCTCTTCTCTTCTCTTCTCTTCTCTTCTCTTCTCTTCTCTTCTCTTCTCTTCTCTTCTCTTCTCTCTCTTCTCTTCTCTCTATTCTCTTCTCTTCTCTTCTCTTCTCTTCTCTTCTCTTCTCTTCTCTTCTCTTCTCTTCTCTTCTCTTCTCTTCTCTTCTCTTCTCTTCTCTTCTCTTCTCTTCTCTTCTCTTCTCTTCTCTTCTTCTTCGCTTCTCTTCTCTTCTCTCTCTTCGCTTCTTCGCTTATCTTCTCTTCTCTTCTCTCTTCTCTTCTTCTTCTCTTCTCTTCTCTCTCTCTCTCTCCTTCTCTCTTCTCTTCTCTTCTCTTCTCTTCTCTTCTCTTCTCTTCTCTTCTCTTCTCTTCTCTTCTCTTCTCTTCTCTTCTCTTCTCTTCTCTTCTCTTCTCTTCTCTTCTCTTCTCTTCTCTTCTCTTCTCTTCTCTTCTCTTCTCTTCTCTTCTCTTCTCTTCTCTTCTCTTCTCTTCTCTTCTCTTCTCTTCTCTTCTCTTCTCTTCTCTTCTCTTCTCTTCTCTTCTCTTCTCTTCTCTTCTCTTCTCTTCTCTTCTCTTCTCATATCTTCATCTTCTCATCTCTCGCCTCCTCTCCCATTCCGTTATTGTTCATTCTTCTCATATTTTCTCTCTTCGTTGAGTTTATTATGTTTATCGTTTTTTTTCTTCTCTCATTTCCGCACCTTTCCTCCTGCTTCCGTTCTCTCATCCGTTTCTCTTCTTATGTTTTGTTATCTCTTCGCGTAGACTCTTCTCTTACAGTACTTTCTCCTGCGTCCGTTCGTGACCTCTCCCCCCCCCTCTCTCTGTCTCTCCTTTTTTTGGTCCCTCTCTCTCTCTCTCGCTCTCTCTCTCTCGCCCTCTTGTTCTCTTCCTATCTTTTTGTTTGTTCGCTCTCTGTTTCTCTCTCTCTCTCTCTCTCCGCTCTCTGCCTCTCCTTTTCTGCCCACCTTTCCTTGCCCCCCTCCTTCCTCTCTTTCTTCCACGCCCTTATCTGCCTCAGATCTTCCCTCCTTCTTCCTCTCCTCTCCTCTCCTCCTGCCTTCCTCCCTTCTGCCATCACCCTGCTCTCTTCGCCTTCGTCCCTTTCTCCCCGCGCCGTGCCTGTGCCCTCCTCTCCCTTCCCTTCCCCTCTCTTGGCTTCTCCGTTTCTCACACTCCAGCTCTGTTCGCCCGCCTTTCCCTTTCTCGGTTATCAGTTTGGTTCCAACCATCCTGTGCTTTTGGGTCGTTGGTTTTGAGAGACAGCGCCTCGCGTTCCTCACCTCCCGCCCTTCCCTCCTGCCATCCTCCCATCCCAGCATCTGCCCTCCGCATGTGCATGTCGGCACGCCTCTCACACGCTTCATGGCCCCACAGGGAGCCCCTCCGAAGGCCAACGCGGCAGCGCCCGCATGGCGCCGCCGCCGCATTTTGGCACACCCCTCACACGTTTTTGTGGCCACATAAGGAGGCCCTACCGCAGGCCCGAATGGCAGCGCCCGCATGGTGCCGCCGCACCGCCGTCCTGGCACCCCTTACACGTTTTGTGGCCAGGGAGCTCCAAGTGGGTGCCTTCTTCGACTGTCTCGGGGGCCTCTTGGGGCACTCGTGCCCTGTCTTGGCACTTTCTAGGGGGGAATGCCTATCTGACGCCCGCCGCCCCCTACACCCATTGGGACCCCCCCTGGGACCCCCCCCCCAGATCAAATGGAAGGGGCTGCTTTTCGACTCGATCTCGACATTGCTAGGTTCTTCTCTCGCTGACATGCTTGAGGAGCAGGGTGCAGGGAAAGGGGGCGACGGAGACGACGACTGACGAAGATGACGATTCGAACAGGCAAGCTCCTCACGCACGCCGACATGCTCGGCGGTTTTCCGTATGATGGCGTCGATGATGCTGTCGCTGACGGCTGATGGTTAGCTTGTCTGTGACCATGATGATACATCTGCTGGTGAGGAGGCGGAGCCGACGGCAAGATGGCTGTGGTAATGATGATGGCGAATCTCATTTTGCCACTGGCTATGACGACGATTATGATGATGCTGGTCATCATGGCGACGGTGGTGGGGATGTCCTCGACGAAGATGATGAGGAGGATGAGGATGAGAAACATGTGACGATCCACGACCAACTGTTCTACATTACGACGTGTCTGTGCTGATAAGGCAATGAGCGCCTCGTCTCCTGACCTGCCTTGGACATCCCTTCGCGCTTACGAGGGAGAGCATGAGTGAGGATGATGCTGATGATGATGATGCTGATGATGATGATGACGATGATACTGATGATGATGGTGGTGGTGCTGAACAGGATGATGGTGGTGATAATGCCGCGGATGAAGGTGACGACGACGATGCTGATGATGATGCTGATGCTGATTATGCTGATGATGATGATGATGACGACGACGACGACGGCGAGAATGATGCTACTGCTGATGATGTCGATGCTGACGAAGACGATGATGACGATGTTGTTGCCGTTGGCTGTGCTGCTGTTGCTGCTGATGATGACGCTGATGAAGATGACGATGCTCATGATGCTGACGATGACGATGCTGATGGTGGTGGTGGTGGTGGTGAGGATGATGATGCCGATGCTGATGGCGATGATGGCGATGCTGATGTTGATGATGATGATTCCGATGATGTTGATGATGATGTTGAGGCTGATGTCAATCGCGTCGACGATGCTGACGGTGGTGATGGTGATGCTGCTGATGATGATGCCGATGACCAGGATGATGATGATGATGATGATGATGATGATGATGATGATGATGATGATGCTGATGATGACGATGATGATGACGATGATGATGATGATGAGGCTGATGATGATGATGATGATGCTGATGATGCCGATGATGATGACGATGATGATGATAACGATGCTGATGCTGGTGATGATGCTGGTGGTGGAGCTGGCACTGGTGCTGGTGCAGCTGCTGATGGTGGTGGTGGTGGTGGTGATGCTGATGAGGATGAGGATGGGGATGAGGATGATGATGATGCTGATGATGATGATGATGATGATGATGATGATGATGATGCTGATGATGATGATGATGATGATGATGATGATGATGATGATGCTGATGCTGATGATGCCGATGATACTGATGATGCTGATGATGATGATGCTGATGATGATGATGATGATGATGATGATGATGCTGATGATGATGATGATGATGATGATGACGACGACGACGATCGTGATGATGAGGATGACGAGCCAAATGAGCATAATTCGCACGTCGAGCATGCAGAGCATGTTGATGACGGGGCGCAGGAGGTGGAGGAGGATAACAAGACACGGAGGAGAGGAAGTGGGAGGGGGCGGAAGGAGGGACGGAGAGGAGGTGTAGGACGAATGGAAGGGGGATAATGGTAATGGTACTGGTCATGGCAATGGTAATGGCAATAGCAATGGCAATGGTAATGGTCATTGTCATGGTCATGGTCATGGTCATGGCAATGGCAATGGCAACGGCAACGGCAATGGCAATGGCGATTGCAATGGCGATGGCAATGGTAATGGTTGCGGTAATGGTAGTGGTAATGGTAATAGTAATGGTAATGGTACTGGTTTTCGTAGTGGTAATGGCAATGGTCATGGTCACGGTCATGGTCAGGTGGTAATGGTAATGGTAACGTAATGGTAATGGTAATGGTAATGGTAATGGTAATGGTAATGGTAATGGTAATGGTAATGGCAATGGCAATGGCAATGGTAATGGTAATGGTAATGGTA